CACTCCGGGTGCTTCCCGTGTGGGGCTGCTGGCGTCTCAGAGTCTTTGCCGGGGATGGCCGCGGCCGTCGCTATGGAGACAGGTGAGTAACACCCGGAGCCGCGCTTCTTCGCGAGTAGAACTGTCCTGGGTTCAGACACCTGTTTCCGCTTCCCCGGGGTCTCCTCCTAGGCCTAACTCTCGGCTGGGCGAGAGTTCAGACTGGGGCATCTCTTCTAGTGTCTGGAAGAGCACAGGTGGTTTGGCTTCTTCAGAGTTTGGTTTGTGGTCATTTCCTTTTTCCTCACTTGCTATTCAAACACCGACGGCTTTCGGCGAAACTAAGGGAGAGGATTTTTATCTTAAACTGCCTCCATGTGTTTTCTGCGTCTCATATGAGCTTGCAGAAGTTTTCAATATCGTCGACAGACTTGTGTATTAGTCTGCCACTGACGCTACTCACCTGAGCACACGCTCCTTGATCTTCAGTACTCGCCGTAGTCCCTTTCAGCTTGCATTCTGAACTTTTTCTTGATGAATTTAGCATTCATTCCCTTTGTTTCTGCTTAACTTAATCGCTTAACAACTTGTAACACATTATTAAAATACGGGAAAGCGTAGTTACCACAACCTATTCCAGTGATCGCTGTTAAAATCCCTACATAGTGGCTTATGAAAACGAGTGTATTCTTGTTTTCTTTGATGACTTCTCTTTAACTTTAGAGAAACGTCTGAGTTATTCCTTTTAATCAAGGCTTTGCTTTTCTTAGACTTCTAAGGAAGGTTTTTCTCCTCCCACGTCCAGTTTAGGAAAACCAACCCATGCCCTTCTTTTATGTGGAAATGTATCTCAGCATTAGTCAGGTGTCTTTACTACTGTTTTCTTGCTACAAATCAGTATTATATACAGTAGTTTATTTTGGATGGTTTTTGCTATCTTTTCTCCTAGACGATGCTGGAAATCGACTTCGGTTTCAGTTGGAGTTGGAATTTGTGCAGTGTTTGGCCAACCCAAATTACCTTAATTGTAAGTTGTCGAGCACCTCTTTGAATTGAGTAGTAATTAATGATTTTTGACAGAAGAGTTGCAATTCATAGTGCTGTTGGCTCTTTGTATCCGAGGCTTCAACTGCAGTTGGTTGAATCCCTGGATACGGAGGGTGACAATATTACCAGTCATTGTGCTGTGCCATGTTGTATAAGGGACTTGGGCATCTGTGGATTTTGGTATCCACGGGGTCTCCTGGAGCCAATCCCCTTGCAGATTCCAGAGGATGACTTTAGTATCTACTTTTACATATTCTCAATTGAGTGGAATTACTGCTATACTTATACTGATATATATGTATCTATTTATCTATCTATCTATCTATATATAAAATCGAGCAACCTTTGTGTTTTGAATTCAGCATGTGTTGGTGTTGGGGATGTTATGTAAGTAAATTCTTTGTTTATGTTAGGAGTCACAAATCAGTAGTCCAAGGATTGGTTTGCTCTACAGATTTTTTTTTTTTTTATGCCTTTCAGTTCTTGCCCAGAGAGGTTACTTCAAAGACAAAGCTTTTGTTAATTATCTTAAGTACTTGCTTTACTGGAAAGAACCAGAATATGCCAAGTATCTAAAGTAAGTTTAATTTTTATAGTCCTAAATATGTGTATACTTTATTATATTTCAAAACACTGATATTTAATAGACTTCTTAGTTTCACATTGGAAAAAAATATACTTTGAATATCTGCATTTTAGTTGCCACCACTTTAATACAAGACACACTTATCTCTAATCTAACTCAAGATTATTCTAGTAATCTATTCACTGGTATCCCAACTTCCATCCCACCTCCAAAGACAAGCAAAGCAAAACCATTTTCTACATAAATGCCAACTTGATCTTTTTTTCTAGCGTGATACAAACAAGATTTTTATTAGTGAAGTAAACAAACAAAAAAAAAGATAGTACACTCCCAAGAATTAGGAGTGGGCCAATCCAAGAGAGGAAGAATGGCCCCAACTAGATCTCTTACAAATGTAAATCACAGCATTCCATTAGAACCTTTCAGTGGCTTCCCTTGCAGGCAGAATAAAATCTAGTCTTTTTCCTCAAGCTAAAGTTCTACTGATCTGGCCCTGTCTTTTTTCACCTTATCTTGTACTCTCAGTGGGTTTCTTGCCCCAAGAAACCTACAATCTGTATATGCAATGACATAGCCATAGGCTGAAAATGAAAGAATGTAGAAAGGGGTACTTGTGAGGAGGGTTTTCTGGAGGAGATAATCTTACCTGAGTCTTAGGAGCTGCTTGCTTATTTTAGGGCCTCCTATGTGTCAGGCGCTATGCTCATTTAGGAGAGGAAAAAAAAAAACCAAACCATATATATATGTGTGTATGTGTATATATATGTTTATGTATTTATTTATTCAGGTTGTGCAACAGATGCTGTCATTTTAAGGTTTATTGAATTGCAAGAAGCATATTCTAATCATGAACCTATTTCTTTTTAATGGTAAAAAATAACTGCCACCTCTGCTTTGTTTTAACTAGGCAGTGAAAAAAGCAGTGGTAAAACTTTTGTTTGTTTTTTTTTCTTTAACAAAGAAGGCAATGGTGAAACTTTTTGTCTTTCTTTCCCTACCCACAAGTTTGAGAGGAAAATGTTTCAAACGTTTACTTTATCCAAGTCACTTTTCTGATCTGTGTCTAATACCAGCTGAATCATGAAGCCCACATCCTTCTGCCTGCAGGAGGACCCCTTGTACCCTTACAAGCTCTTTATAAAAAACCACTTATTCATTTACTAATCCAGCAAAAAGACTTTTTTTTTTTTTAAAATAGATTGCAGTAGGTTGTATGTATGTGGACTTAGAGACTCAGTGTTGGACACTGAGCCTTACACATCATCAAGTTCAGTTTCATCCCCAACATTGCTGAGATGGTCATTGGATGCTGGCTGGAGGATTCCAGTGAGCACATACTACTCTGTTCAGGGACAGCCAATTACCCTTGTTAGCTAGATGCTAGAAAGTTCTACCTTATATTATAATATGATATACCTCCATGTAGCTTCAACTCATGTTCTGAGTTTTGTCCCTGAATTAATTAAGAACCAATCTCTTCAGATATTTAAATTCAAGAGAGGTTGCAAATTAACCCCCATTTCATTTCTGCACAGGGTTTTTATTTAATAGTTGCCAACCTTTAAAGATTGGTAAGTTTCATATTTCATTCCAGATTTCTAGCTACTCTGTAAAATTCTGGAAGATCTGGTAATTGCAGGTCTTTGTTCTCCGAGGTCAACCACTGGCTAGAGCAGAGGAGCAGCTGCCACTTCTAGACACTTGGCACCGTTTCGTGAATAGCCAGGACCTGCAACTTTGATGTATCTCTTACAACTATTTTTCTCACCTCCCTTCAGCCATTTCTCACATGCCCTCCTTTGGATATTTTACTCTTGTGCTTTACGTTATTCAGCCAAGAACTAAACACAGGCCTTCAGATGTCAGGGTACGGTGGACCAATCACATTTTTTTCCTTCATATGGACATTAAACTTCTGTTAGTTCAACTTAAGTTTATATTACCTTTTTGGGGGTGGTGGTGACGGGGCAAGGATTCACATTGTTGATTTGCTGGGAGCTTGTCAACTGAAATACTTCAGTTCTTATTTTCGTCAGTGTTATTAGTTGAATTCTCCATTTATGTCTTGTTTATTTTTAAAAAATCTAAATGCAGAACTTCCTTTTGTACCTCTTGTATTTCATCTTGTTGGTTACTATAATTGTAGCCTATCAAAATATTTATAGTTCCTTTTTCTGTCATTTAATGTATTCTGAGTATTGTCTTCTGCAAGTTCGATAAATGATCACTGCATGTCTGAATTACAGTTATTGACTGAATGCTACTTGGAAGATCATTTTCCTCATTGTCACATTAACTTATTTCACAGATGAAGAAACTAAACCTTAAGAGAGGTTAAGTACCTTGTTCAAGGCCACCCAGCTGGTGAATGGCAGAGCTGATAGGTTTTTTTTTAAGCTACTAATGTCCTTCTGAAAAGGAAATAGGGAGGGTAGGTATGAGTAGGTCATTCCAGGCATAGCTGCCAGCAATTACAAGCAACTATGTATCTTTGGAGTATAGAGAGCAAACCTGAAGTATGTTTGGAGGACAACATGGTGTTGGGCTCTGCTCCTCAGTCTGCTCCCGAGACCAGCAGCGTTGGCATCATTTGGTAGCTTGTTAGAAATGCAGTCTCCACCACAGACTTACTGATCTGCATTTTAAAAAGTGATCCATGTGAACGTTTAAAGTTAAGAAGCACTGCTGTAGTGTGTTGTCCGCAAACTTCAGTCATTTGTAGAACCACTTGTTCAATTTGGCTCTGTCTGTGTACCCCCTATATGACTAAATGTTTTTTGATTGACTCATTTAAATTTTATGTCTTTTCTATTTGAAATAATTTCACTTACAAAACAACTGGGAAAACAGTAAGGAGAATTCCTGTGTATTCTTCTGCCAGATAGTCTAAATGTAAACTTCTTTCATAATTATAGTACAATGATCAAAGTCATAACACGAATACATTATCTAATCTTACTATCTAAGGGAAAGACCTCAGTCACACTTCGCCAGCTGTCTCATTATGTCTCATCATGGCTGGTATAGTATCTAGTCTGTCCTCATGCTGCATTCTGTTGTCATGTCTTCTGAGTCTCCATTCATCTGAGTTCATCTGAGTTTTTTTTTTTTCCCCTTAATTGTGACACAGAAGTGATGTTATATCCTTCTTGGTATATCAGGAGTCACAGGAAGTCCATGTGTCCCACTGCTGGTGATGTTAATTTTGATCACTTGGTTGAGATGGTGGTTGCCAGTTTTCTTCATATCAAGTTACTATTTTTCCTTTTGTATTTAATACTTTATCTCGTGAGGAAATACTTTGAAACTATGTAAATATCTCACTTCATATTTCATTCTTTTATGCACTAACTTTAGCATCTGTTGAAAATACTTCCTTGAAACAATTTTTACTGTGATTTTCTAATTCCATCATTTTCTACTCATTTATCAGAATTCACTTGTGAGGAAGGAACATTTCCTTGTTCCTGATTTATTTATTTATTCATTTTTAAAAGTCACATCAATATGGACTCTTGGATTCTTTATCTTGTAGGTTATAGTTATGTATCTTCTTGCATTTGTGATCCCTGATATAGCCATTGGGAGCCCCTTCAGATTGGCTACTGAGCACTTTTGACATGTGCCTATAATTTTTTGAGCATTTTTCTTTCTGGAGCTATATAATATTCCAGGCTTATCTTGTACTTTCCCTGTGTGAGCCCTAGAATCAGCCATTTCTCCAAAGAACCCTGGATAATGCTGTTTAAAACTCAGGATCTGGGTACAGAGTACTCATTGGTACCACAGTGTCATTGCTCCTAGGCTCTCTCAGCACTCAAAGCTAGGAACTGTGTGTATACTTGTATGTATACACACAAACACACACACCTGTATCTAATTCTATTACCTGCCTGTATTAAAAACCACGAGTGCAGACTGATATTTTCAGTTCCAACTCAATAACAGGCTTCATTCTAGCCTTTCCCTTTCCTCATCTGAAACTCCTTTTCTGAGAGCCAGAAAATTTGGCTTTCTGTCTACAGTGTATTTACTGTCATATTTGCTCAATCTTAGAGTATATGTACATAATTTCAGAATTGTTATATCCCCATGGAAAACTAGAATACAATATTTGTGCATAATTCTTTCTAAAATTAACTCACTTTTAAAGTAAAAGTTGTTTTTTATCATTATCTATGGAAAACCATTTGATTTTCATTAAACACATAATTACTAAAATAAAAAGTGTTCATGTTCCTCACTTTGGAAACCATCAGAACAGAATAGCTTGATTTGCCCCCAAATGTTGACTCTGCTTACCAGTTACTGTGTGGTCTTGGGCAAGTTATTTAACCTTTCTGAACTTAAGTTTTCTCACTTTTGAAAATTTTCCTGACTGCTGACTGTTGATGATGAGCTTTCCCGCATAAGCAGGGAAAAAAAGAACTATACTACCAAAGTATACTAAGTTAACGTTGCAAAAATGGTAGGCTACAGGATCGTTTCAGTGAGTAAATGAATTAGAGCATGATGTTTTTGACTTACATTACGTCGATCATTAACTTATAAACTTAACCCCAGGTACCCTCAGTGTTTACACATGTTAGAACTGCTCCAGTATGAACACTTCCGCAAGGAGCTGGTGAATGCTCAGTGTGCGAAATTTATTGATGAGCAGCAAATTCTGCACTGGCAGCACTATTCCCGGAAGCGGATGCGTCTTCAGCAAGCCCTGGCAGAGCAGCAACAGCAAAATAACACATCAGGAAAATGAAAAGCTGGATCCAGACCAGGCTCTTAAGACATGTATATATTGCTTTTGTACAGTGAAGACAAAAAAGACTCTTCCTACGTATCTTTATTGTGGTAGCACCTAGAACTGTTAGTGTGCTATTTAATTGAACTTTTTATTGTTAATAGATTATTTCTGTTAAACCAGAATTGTTCCATTTTGGTTTCCCTGTGGGTTTGTAAGCTTTTATGAGTATTTAACAGTCAACTAAGAATAAAAACGTTAGGTGCTTTAGACCAGTTTAAGGAGGTGGGGGGTGGGACAAGGAGAGGGCTACCACATATCCCAAACTCTCAGTTGAGCTCTGATCCTGATGTACAGTGGGGCCTGGGGCAAGTCTGTCTCCTGGAACCTTGCTGTCCCTCAGGTCAACCACCCGGCCCCCCTCAGAGTGAGAGGAGTGGAGTCAATGACCTCTTTTAAATCAGAGAACAGGAACTGCATAAAGGTTCTTAAATTCTACAGGATCACCAGCTGCTTTGCAAGAGAGCTTTAAGGAAGAATCATTGCTATGTCACTGACCCAGTGATGGCAGGGAGAAGATTGGTGGTTAACTATTAATTGTGGACTCAACCTTAAAACTAGAACAAAACTGGGGAGTCTCAAATACTTGTGCTCACTTGGGAAAGAAAGCTAACATTTATTTGGCAGATAGCACAAACCAGGCCCTATGTTAAGTGCTTAATTGCATTCTCATTTTATCCTCCGAGCAATCCTTGTTCATAAAGGAGGAAACTGAGGTTTAGAAAGGTTAAGTAACTTGCCTATGGTTATACAGCTAGTCGGTGATAATCAGTGAGACTGACTCACAGGCAGGAGTCCTTCCCACCACTAGGTTATATGGACTCTGACCTCTGCCACCCACCTCATCCCAGGTAGTGAAGCACATTCAGACAGCTGTAAACAGCTGCCAGCGTTAAGCAGAGGCTGGGTTGGATGTGCTGTGCTTTTCTCCAGTGGTTAGGTTAAGTTGTACATTCTAAAGCCAAAGAAGGTGTTTTAGGAATAACAGTTCTTTGTAAATTAATGGAATTTAAGCTAAAAGATCCTAACTCCTTTAGAGACTTGGAGGCTGTCTACTGCACTATTTGGGGCTTTTAGATATTTCTATCTCTAGTAACACCTTCCTTTGTGCTCTACTGCCACTCCTGAAGACTTATTTTACCTGTAGCTTAAAAATGTCCATGTATTAGGGGGCAGGGTATAGCTCAAGTGGTAGAGCGCATGCTTAGCATGCAGGAGGTCCTGGGTTCAATCTCCAGTACCTCCTCCAAATATAAATAAATAAACCCAATTACCTCCCTCTCATAAAACAAAAGAAAAAGTCCATATATTAAAGCAAACTCGGGGCTTCATGAGCATTTTTAATAGCACTCTACTGTTTTAGACATACATGAATTTTTTTTTACATCATCGTTTATTTACTGCTAACATGAATTCAAAACAGGTATGCAGTTTCTTTTATACTTGATGAAATCAAGACACAATTGCCATCATCAAATCTTACTAATCTTCAGAGAACAACATCTCCACGAGGTTAGCCTGAAGACACTCAGATTCTACCAGTTTGTGAGGCTGTAAGAGAACAGTCATATCTTAACCCACAGCTACAAAAATGTTATTAGGAGAGAAATGAATTGTTCTGCCTTGAATGACACAAATCTTGGATCAGAGAAATTATGCCATTCAGAAACTATCAACTAGTTGTAACAAGTTTTACGAAATAGTTAAGATATTTGCCTTAAGGTGAATCATTAAAATACTTGGCTCCCGTGGACTAAAACAGGAGACAGCAAGCCCAATGCCTCCCCTTGCCCTTGACTCTTTAATTTAGAATCCCATGGCCATGATTAAACTAGAAGAGGTGCCCTTACTTTTCACTGAGAATTATGAATTTAGTAGAGAACAACTATTGATGCCATTGTTTTAAGGCATTATATGTTAACCAACTTTCTTCAACAGTGCTTAGAGAATTTTAAAATAAGATTGGCTTTAAGAGGTATGAAAAGACCTAATATTTGCATTATTAATAATTTATTGTGATTGGCCATAGAGATGGACAGCCAGGTTGTGTTTTGAATGTGTTCTGAATAGCAACGCGTGATGTTTGGGATGAAATGTCAAGATCTGTTCAAATTTGAATCCAGAACAAGTTAAGAAAGTTTTAACAGGGTGAATTGTATCCTCAACACAGTTAAAGAAAGATACTCACTGTTCCATATTTAAGTAGTGTAGGCACTGCAGTTAATTTCAGCTTTTTCCTAAAGTCATTATTTGGATCTTTCCAACTATTAAAAGAAAAAAAAGATGATCGTGAAAAACATTTATTTGGTTTCTTACAGTTTGCTTAATGTTGGGTATAATTTAGTCTTTTAGTATTCATTGTTGTAAACATTTTGAAAACCTTGAGTATGACTTATCCCTTATTCTCCTGTGCAAAGTTTTCATTTAAGTGAATATATGCTAAGATATAAAATAAATTTGAAGACAGTTAAGTTCTGGACTAACATCAGGCCAAATTCACTGAATTACCCTTAACTAATACAAATGGCTGAACATTAAAATTTTTAATTTGAATTTAATATCTTCTACTTATTTAACTTACCCGACTATACCTTAGAAATCAACCTGAATCCCAGGCCATTCTCGCCTAAGTCTGCAAGAGTCTAGTGCATGTCTGGGAAACAGAATACACGTTGCCACTTACTAAGGTTTTTCTCCTACTTGGCAGTAGATGAACACACATCCTTCACCAACATGCTTCAGCCCCTCTCGTACGACTGGTTCAGCTTTCAAGAAAAGTTGATAAAAATAATTACACCCCAATTCTACAGTCAGGTACTGATAAACAGCGTCCCTCTTCCCTCTCCTCGGTCTTGGTAGTACTCAGACTTTAACCTGGAGTTAACTGAGTAAGTTAACAGAAATCGGGTTTTTTTTTTTTTTTTTTTTTCCTGATTTGAGAGTCACTTTAAGGGTAAAGACGAACTCAGTCCCGATTTGTCCCCGCGCCACAGCGCCTTTAACAATGAAAGACAAATATTTGCTGACTTAACTAAAGGAAATCAACTCACGTCTTCTGTAAGACACTAATCATACTGGAGAAATGAAAAAGGTTTAAAGAACTAGATTCCAGGATTACGTGGGTCGAACAGTAGAAAAGCACTTTCGGCGGGGCGGAGAAAGACAGGAGGAGAGTCGGGAACAGGGTAGGGAAAGGCAAGATGATAGCTCAGATCGCCCCCTGGAACTCCCGGAGCAAGAAGTCTCCCTTCCGCTTCTTCTCCACCCTGCTCTCTGGCCATAGCCTCGGCCTCCTGCCACTTCCTCTGGGCAGCAACCCCCGAATCGCGGACTCACCCTGCACGCAGTCCGGGCACCAGCTTTTCCCTTCGGCGTCCTTAGAACCGGAAAAGTAGGCGAATACGGTCTTGCCATTGTGCTGCTCCACAGCCTGCATGAAGTCCTCGTAGCCGGCGACACTCACCTCCTTGTAGCCGGCCATCCGGAGCGCGCTACTGGAACCGCGGGAGGTGTTCTTGGGTCACGCTGCCGCGGGGAGTGACCCCACGCAGGGCGGGGCGAAGCTGTTTCCGGGTGGGCGGGGCCTGAGGGAACCAGCCAGGCGCTGGGGTGCTACGGGAGCCTCTGATGGTCGTAACTCCTCCGTGCCGTCATTCTGCTCCGTTTCGCAGGTCTTCCCGTGCTGGCTGCACCTAAAACCCTGGCTTCTGCCCCAAACTGGTCCTGGCCCCAGCCCCATAAGCAGTGGCTGTAAAGCCTACCGCTACGCAGTCCCTGGACCTTTAGGTGACTTTGGAGCCTTAACGGCTCCCAAGCTGCCTTGCGCCCGTTGCCATGGCGACTGGGCGAGCGGCCGGAAGCGAGGCCTAGTTGCGGCCCCCCTGCCCGGTTCCGGGTAGCCGCGCCGCGCCCCAGGCCAGGTGGGCTCGGGCCAGAGCTGGGGGGATTCTGGGAAGCTGCGCTAGGAGTCATGGACCTGGGGTAGAGGAGACCTTGAGCCGGGGCAGATCCTTCCGCTCGTCGGGCCTATTTACCTTTTCTCCTGCCGAGGCTTGGTGGGGGTGGGGGCCGGGACCAGGGGAGGGGGCGGGCGTCCAGGACTGGGCGGGGGTAGGGGGCTGGGAGGGAGGAAGGCTGCGAGAGCTGGAGCTGAGTGTGTGAGTGGGTGTGTGGAGCCTCCTTGGGAGCTGGTGCTAAAACAGAAAGTGCCCCGGAGCTGCGCTGGGAAGGCGGGAGTCGTCCTGGGGCTATGAGCAGGGCGGCTGGCCGCGGGGCCTTGCCCGGGCTGCGCGGGGGCGAGCTAGCGTCAGAGGCGCCCGGCCGCTGCGTGGGGCCCAGCAGGTCCGGGCGAGGAGTCCGGCGGCCGTGGGGGAAGAGATGCGGTGCAGGGACGTCCCAAAGCCGTGGGGCGAGGCGCCGGGAGAGATCCTTGGTGCGGGAGGCGCGCTGTGTGGGCGCAGAAAGGCTGCAGGACTGTAGGCGGCCGTGGGGGAGAAGACAAGCGGAAGGGACAGCCCAGGCCGCCGGGGTGAATGAGGCTGCGGGGACACCTGGCACTGCACGCTCTGTGGAGGCCGCAAGGGACTCTGGGGCTGTGTGGGTGAACGGGGCTGTGGGGGAACCCCAGGTGGTGGGGCCTGTCGGCTCTGTGTGGGCGACTGGCACTGGGGAGGAGGAGATGGTTTATAGGAGCCCCCGGGGCTGCGAGAGAAAAGGCCGCCCGGGGTCTATGGGGCATGAGAGCATTCTGGAACTATGGTTGAAGGTGCAGGCTATGAGGGCAGCTTCAGGTTGTGGAGAAGGAAGCAGGGTCGAGCTCCATCCTATGCCTGCAGGAGGGGGCCCTGTTGAAAGGGGGGTCCCTGGCCAGGCTTCGTGGGTAGAAACCAGCCGTGGTGGTCTTACCGGACCGTGGGTGAAAGGACAGGCTAGGGCATTCCCCCGGGCCACAGGGGTGTCAATAGCTCGTTCCCAAGAGGCAGGCTATGAGAGGGCCTCAGGCCTGTGTGGGCAGGGTTGGGCTGTGACCGTGCCTGGGACTATGGAGGCAAATTCTGGGATTGCCCCACACCTGCTAGGGAGAGGGCAGGTTGCAGGGGTGCCTGGAGCTGTGGAAGGGATAGGCTGTGGGGTTGCCCCAGGCTCTTGGGGAAAAGGAGCAACTAGGGGAGTGCCTGGGACCATGGGGTGGCCCGAGGTTGTGGAGGTACCCAGAGCTGTGGAGGGAGAGCTGGGCTGTGGTGGTGCCCCAGGTCTCTGGGAGAGAGAGCAGTCAGTGCAGGTGCCTGGGGCACTGGCACAGGAGGCAGTCTGTGGGGATACCCCAGGCTTACGGGCGAGGGAGCAGGCCGCAGCAGTGCCTGATGCTAGAGGGGTATTCAGAGCTATGGAGGAGGAAGCTACCTCTGTGGGTGCCCCAGTTGTGTGGCAGATGAGACCAGCTGTAGAGGAGACAGGCCCTGGGAGTCTCCCTAGCCCGTGGGGCACGAGACAGCCTGTTGGGGTACCTTGTGCTATTGGAGAAAGAATGAGATGTGGGGGTGACCCGGGATTCAGGGAAAGGGGACAGGCAGTGTGGGTGGAGACAGGCTCTGGAGGTGACTCGGGGTCATGGGAAGCCGTACAGACTGCAGAGGTATCTGGTCCTGAAGAGCAGGAGGCAGGTGCTGGGGACGCCCCAGGCCTGTGGGGGACAGGACGACCTGTGGGGGTAGCTGGGGCTTTGGGGAAGGAGACAGGCTGTGGGAGTGTCCCGGGTCTGTGGGGGACAGAACAGCCCATGGGAGTGGCCCAGGCTGTGGTGGTTCCAGGAGCCATGGGAGGACAGACAGGCTATGATGGTCTCCCAGGCTCGTGGGGCAGGCGGCAGGCTCTGGGGGTGCCTCTGGCTGAGGCGGTGCCGGGGGTTATCCGAGAGGAGACATGCAGTGGAAACATCTTAAGTCTGTGGGAAAGGAGGCAGGCAATGGGGGAGCAAGAGGCTCTGGTGCCTACAGCTTTAGGAGGAACTGGATCTGTGGCTCAAGAGACTAGCTATGGGGATGCTTTGTGTCTGTGTAGAAAGAGACAGGCTGTGGTGTTGTCAGAGACAGGGGGGAGGTCAGAGGCAGCAGGTGTACCCAAACGCAGGTGTGCCCCAGCAGGGGTGCCCACGGCTGTGGGTGTGCCGGGGTCTGGAAGAGTACCTGTCCGGGTGCCTGCTGCTGGGTGGGTGCCTGGCTCCGCGTGTCAGGGGAACAGCTCCAGGGATGACTTGAGCCTGTGGGGAAGGGTTCATACTGCCAGGAGAGCCATGGCTTCAGGGATTCCCATGGCTCCCAAGGAGCTATGGTCTGTAGGGGAAGATGCTGGTTCTCAGGCCTTCCCAGGATCATGGGGAAGGAGACCGGCTATTGGGGTTCCTGTGACTGACAGGGTTCCTGTGGCCCCTGAGGTTCCAGGGCTGGGGGGTGAGGAGATGGGCTCTGGGGCTGTCCCAGGGTCTTGGGGAAGGAGACACAATACCAGGGTCCCTGTGGCTGCTGAGGTGCCCGCCGCTCCTAGGGTGCCGGATCCGCTAGGGACAGAGACTGGCTCTGGGGGTTTCTCACACTTGCCGGGAAGGAGAGCAACTCCAGGGGTACCTGTGACAGCAGGAGTGTCTGCAGCTGCCGGGCTGCCTGTGGCTCTCAGGGCACCTAGGCCTGTGCGAGAGGCGGCTGGTTCTGGAGATGTCTCAGGCTTGTGGGGGGAGAGAGAGACAGTGTGGGGACCTGCAGATGCCAAGGGTCCCACCAGGATGGGGGTGCCTGCCACTCTCAGGGTGCCTGGGCCCGTGGGGGAAAAGCTGGGCCCTGGAGGCATCTCAGACTGGGCAGGAGGGAGACAGACCACAGGAGCACCTGTGGCCATGGGGCTGCGCACAACTGCGGGGGTGCCCAGGCCTGTGGGGGAAGAGGTGCCCTCTGGGGCTCTCTTGGGCTTATTGGGAAGAAGGCAGGCTGCTGAGGCGCCAGTGACTGCTGGTGTTCTCGTGGCTGCAAGGGTCCCCACAGCTGCTGGGGTTCCCGGGCCGCTGGTGGGCCATGGTAGCTCTGGGGATGGCTCAGGTATGTGGGGAAGGAGACAGGGGACTGAGGTGCCCATGGCTGCCGGGGCTTCAGGACCCATGGACGGGAACACTGGCTCTGAAGGTGTCGCAGGTCTGTGGAGAAGGAGACCCAATGGAGCTGTCCCCGAGGCTGTGAGGGTCCCTCTGTCTGGGAGGGTGCTTGCAGCTGGAGGGGTTCCCACG